GCCTAGAAAATTCTCACCAAAATACAAGCATAACTAGTCCGTTGATCCGTCATACAAAAATCTACACACTTAGATCTAACTTCCATTCAACTAGCTCTTAACATTCCTTAAAAGTTTCAGTGGTTCTCATAAAAAAAAAGAATAAACAAGGCAATCAAGTCTAGGTATTCAAAGGGCTTTTTAGGTGTGAGGTTTAAAGTGTTTTGGGTTACCTTAATTTCTGAAGAAGCAGGATATTATGCAAAACAGCAAGAGAGGATAGAGCAGTTGATATCCACAGTTTTCAGTCATGTTCTTCTTGCCATAAGATCTCTGAGTTTTTTCTTCAGGTTCTCCTTATAATTCCCCAGACTTAGATTTTTGTCTAGGTTATTATATCTCCCATAAATGAATACTTGATGCCTTTGCTTTGAATAATTTCGACAATCTAGGACTCTTTAGGCTTTTGTTTCATTTCCTTTTCATTCTTTTTCTGTCTCTCTTTTCTTTTTCTATTTTGTTTGTTTTTTTAATATTTTTTTTTTTTTTAGAAAAGAAAACACCTTTAGATAAAGTCCTAGAGATGCACCAAAATTACCATTAAGAATGAGCTTTCTAAGGCTGCTGAAGATTGTTGATACTTTTCCTTCTTAACTCCATTCAGTCATTCTCTTGAGTGACTGAAAACTGTGTCGTTCCTCCCTCTCTGGCGTTTTTGCACATATCTGCTGATATAAACTAAAGAGAAGATGCATGAGGTTCGAAAATAAAAGTTTGGGTTAAGGGTATGGTACCAGTTGAAGATGAACTGGCCATCTAGGACAACAAAGAGTGGTATAAAAAATAAGGAAAAAGATGTCCTAGGTGTATAACATGATGCCTGCCTAAAATTCAATGATGAGAAAATTAAATATCAATATTAAGTCCAAATAAAATGAGATAGTAAATCCTGTCAGAAATAATCTCCATGAATAGAAGTCCTGTGGTCGGAGTTCGTATTGCAAGTACTCTAGCTACCGCCTAGTCTAGTATTAAACCACAAAAGAGCAATCATGCATAGTATAGAAGCATATAGGTTGGTTATCATCATAGATTTTTGTCATAATTCCCTCAAAACGTATTTTGCTTTGAAAACACTGAAAAATCGTTTTTTTTTTTTTTTAGAAAAATGTAGAATGCAAAGACTCATGAAAAAAAGTTAGTTAGAAAGGGATGAAATCCTCCCCAGACTTAAATCACACTCCAGGATGTGAAATAAATCAGAGTAAGGATGAGAAATAGAGTATGTAATGAATTGAAAAGATAAAGTAAGAGAAATCTTACCTGGATGTCTCTGGATCATGGTATGGTGGTGTGGTGATGGTAAACGGGTGGTGGAAGGTCGAAGGTGGGAAAAGGAATGGATTGAAGTCATCATGCCATTGATCCGAGACAAGAAATTTTTTTTTGGGTCGCGCAGGAACGATTGCGGGTCGCGCAGGTACGGCCGCGGGTCGAGCTGGTACGGCCGCGGGTCGAGCATACACGACCGCAGGTCGACCAGACACGACCGCGGGTCGGAACACGAAATTTTTTTTTTCAAGGACTCGAAACCAAGAAAAACAAAACCGAAAAATTAGTAAGAAAAAGTTGTCTTAGAGTCAATTTACTAACCTCTGAGATTGTGCAGATGAAGACGATTGGATTCCCCGGCAACGGCGCCAAAAACTTGATGCTGCTAGGGTTGACTTCGCGGCTTTATGTTTTAAATTTATAACCCTAGATATCTGCAAGTGCACAACAGTGCGTTGTAGTATTTAGGGTGTCGATCCACAGAGAATCCACGCTTTACCTGCAGAACCTTAGAACCAGAATTAGTAAACGAAGACGAAAAACAGGTTTTGGATAGGTTGTGTGATTTCTATATATGTATTTTAAAAAGGGATTTGAAAAGGTTTTGAAAAGAGTTTTAAAAAGGGTTTTAAAAAGAGTTTTACAAACTGGAAGTGAATAAATCGATAATAAATCTAAAGGATGAACAAAGCTCTTAATATTGATCCTAGTAAATTCTTAGAACTCGAGTCACGGACGTATGACTACGCCATTGTCGTGATCATAACCAAATATCTCTCGCAACCCTGACCAGTAGATTTCCACTCTGGCCTTGGAAGGAAAAAGATGCAATATGCTTAAGACTCGTCAACATTTACAGCTCGCCCATAGGTAGGTTTTCACTCCTATGGTTGATCTGCTCTTCTCAAACTAGATCCAGCCCCGGATGAATACTTTCGCAACACCAAGGACCTAGATCAGTCTCTAGTTCACGACGCTAGATCCATGCTTTAAGTATAAGTTTAGAAGAAAGATTTCTAGAATTCGGCTTTGGTTTATCTCGCGAAAATCCCTATCGAACATAGTCGATTCCCTTCGATCGAGCCTTTAAACTCATACCTCATCATTCCAAAACGTGCATAAAGCAAATAGAATAGACGTGCATAGGAAAATAAAGAAGAAAGAAGTAGAGAAAAACAGACAAGGAGAAGAAGAAGAAGAAGCATCTCGATTTTAAGAGCTGGGCTCGGAGAAAAACTTCTCTTCAAATCCTTTAAACAACTAATCTAATATAAAAAAGATAAAAACGAAATTGAAAGATGCATAAGAGTAAAAACCGAATTAAGATAAAGGTAGAACATAAAGAGGGTTCAAGAGAAATCTCTATCTCCCTAAACTAAGAACTAAGAACATAAAAGCATAATAACCCTAGAAAACTAAATTTGGTGGCTCCCAAAAGGGATTCTTCTGAGGCACACGAAAATAGGTCTCCAAAGATACATATTTATAGGTCTTCAACTCTCTCCAGTCGTCATTAGGGTTTTCTATGAAGAGAAGACGAATTGGGCTTGAAACAGGGTCATGGGCCAGCTTTTTAGTTAGCACTGGTCGCGAGGCTTCTGACCGCGGTGAATTGGGGTTTGGCCACGGCCAGAGACTCGTAACCGCGGTCGAGAATGTGTTCTCCGCGGTCGTGGCTCCTGGACCCGCGGGGATTGGTCTTCGAGGTTGAATCTTCATTCTGTGCTTGCTTCCTTCGCGAGACTGCAGAACATGTCTTCAGTGCATCAATGATATCTGGAGATCTAACAATTGGATTGTCTTCAAACCAATTGCATTTGAAAGCTAGTTGTCTCTTATATATTATGTCCGATTTTGGAGATGATCTGACGGTGGGAAGGTCTTCATAAGATGTGAAAATTCTGAGGATCCGAATTTATCCAAAATTGTCTTTTGCTTCAAAATGCACACCTTTTGCCTTTATTACCTGAAAAGAGTCTTGGAATTACAAATACTAGAAAATAATAGTAAAAACACTTAAAAGAAATAAAAATCATTTAAAAGGCATTTAAAATGATCCACAAAAGTGGTCAAAATACGGTGTTATCAAGATATCTGTATTGCGATTGTAGAAGGAGGTCTGGGAATAAGATCCTTGGAGGAGTCAAACAAAGTCAGTGTTTTGAAGCTAATTTGGCGGATCGTTTCAGGGAATAACTCGCTTTGGGTTAACTGGGTGCAGCGGTTCATTGTCAGAAGTGGATTGTTTTGGGCAGTAAAACATAACTCTGTTCAGGGATCTTGGATGTGGAAAAAAATCCTGAAATATAGAGAACTTGCAAATAACTTTTATGAGGTGGAAGTTAGGAGTGGGAATTCCATCTCGTTCTGGTATGACCTTTGGTGTGAGCTTGGGAGACTAATTGATCAAGCAGGAGAATGAGGGTTTATCGACATGGGGATTCCTCAGCAGGCTAAGGTCGGCGAGGTATTTGACATGTTGCGTAGAAGAAGGCACAGACGAGCTCTGTATTTGGAAATAGAGAAGGAAATACAGTCTCTTAGACAAACCAGAGAACCGTATGCAGAAGATATTGTGAGATGGAAGGGAAATAATGGAAACGCTAGAGCAGTATTCAGCTCAAAGGAAACCTGGAGCCAGATCAGAACGCCGAGACAGAGAGTGAATTGGTATAAGGGGATATGGTTTATCCAGGAAACCCCCAAATACTCCTTCATTTCATGGTTAGCGTTCAGGAATAGATTGGCAACAGGGGATCGAGTTAAGAGTTGAAATGCAAATGCAAATACAACTTGCGTGTTCTGTAATGATCTACTGGAGACTCGGGATCACCTCTTCTTTGCCTGTATGTACACCAAACAGGTTTGGGAGATCACGGTTAAAGGACTTCTCAAAGATCAATTTGTTTTCACGTGGGGAGACATTGTAGAGCTGATCACACAAACATCACGGGCAGAATAAACACTTTCCTTCTCTGGTACGCTTTCCAAGCGACGCTCTATTCGATATGGAGAGAGAGAAATCGAAGACGCCATGGCGAACATCCAATACAGATGCAGCGACTGTCAAGGATGATCAATAAAAGCACTAGGAACCAGCTCAGTGCTCTTTGAGACCAGGGAGATCGGAGATACGAGGGAAGCCTGCAAGTCTGGTTTTCCACTCGATAATCACCAAAATAGGATCAAAATAATGTTTGATTTTTCGATTTAAGCTTCCAAAAGGATTGATCAAAGCTGTAAAACGTTGTTTTTTTTTTCTAAATATAATTTAACATTAGATTCAAAAAAAGAAAAAATAGGGTTTTAAGTTTATTTATTTCTTCTTAAATTTTATGTAGGATTTAGGATTTTTTATTTTTAGGGTCATAAATTAGAATTTTTAATTTAGAGATTAAATTAATACAATTTGCTTATTTTTTTTTAAATGATACTTTATTCTATACCATTTCATCATGATGCATTTCTACTCAAAATCATATATCTATTTCTAATAGTTATTTTTGTTCAAAACATGGTTTTTTAATGTGGATATATTACGTTTTTTTGTCCAACTGTAAATGTTAAAAAAAACTCCAAATGTGGTTAATCTGTACAGACAATTCCAATTGTGACAGTAATTTGAATGTAAGCGCGCGGGGATGAAATTAATTTTGGAGCACAAATAGAAAACAGAGTTTAGTATTCAGAATGAAACAAAAGTGCACACAACATGAGCTTACATTTGGGGGCAAGGAGTGATAAGCTTAGCCCTTGATGTATTATTTGGAAGCAAAAGAAACATGAACATAAACATACACCAATGTAATGTCCTCACACCGAATGAATACAAAATTGAAACTTGGTACCATATGAGGTTATTTCAAACGCTTTCTTTGTAGCAATGGCAATGTTTGGCGGATCCCTCAACAACCCCTTTGCAGACTGATTTTCTCCCGTATTTGGCTATACAACAGTGACAGCAATCGTTGTTGGAACCTGTGAACGGCTCCGGCCCACACTCCTCGGAGAACACTGGATTCTTGCATCCTCTCGGAAGACATCTACTATTGGTTCTCTGATCAGCCTCGATCTTGAGGATTTCTACATGTTGACATATTCATCAGCACAAGATAACTAAAAGAGAACTGCAAAATATAATTAATAGAGAACTTTGTTAAATTCATACCAGTGGAAGCCACCATGAGGACAAGCAAGAGAACGGTGAACGTGACGGAGTTGAGGTTCTTGGCCATTTCTTTTTCTTTGTTTTGCTTTGCTTGCTCTTAAACTTTTTTGAGATCTATACATATCCATATGTGTGGTGATCTATTTATAGTCAAAATTTTGTAACTTCGTTATAGTTGTTTGATATCTCGGCTTTTCTTTCAGGTGTTCCTAAGTTCATAATGTCGACATAATTGTTCATTCCCGTATGTTTCATTTAATTTGTATTCTCCAAGTCAACTCTTTTTTTAATTATGCACTCATCTTAGATAATTAAAAAAAATTAAGGTCGTCGTTGACTTTGTCCTAGTAACTAATTTCATAAATCCATTCGTTCTTAAGTTTATTAAACTACCATTTGTTTGAATATAGACATATAGTGAATGATGATGTACATTGCTTAAATGACACTCTCTTACCATGTGCACATCTACTCTTCATGGTTTTTTCTTACAACAGTAGTTACCACGTGAACATATATACAAATATCTCCATACCAAACTGTTGGGATATCAATCTAAGTTCCACATCGGAAGTTTAGACAAAAACCAAAAAATGTTTAATATATAAATAATGTCCAAAAGTAATTAATATGAGGCATTTTGGAAAGGAACCAAAAACAAAGTAACTTTACCGTTTGATCATATTAATAAAGAGTTGGACATGAACTTGAAAAACACAACAAGACAAGCTTTACGTCTCTCGTGAAGGTCAAGGTTTTCAACACAGTCTAAGGAATGCTTTGAAAAGAAAAAAAAAGGATGATGTTTGATTGGTCGAGAAAAAGTCACTGAGATAGGAGGTTTAGCCTACTTGCGAGTACCAACCTGCAAAGAAAAATCTTGATTTTTTGTAATAGGGAAGCTAGCTACTCGTTATATTGGTCCCAAGAAGATTATCCGTAGAGTTGAAACGATAAGTTATCGTTTAGGCGTACCCTAGATATGCAAGTCATCAAGTGTTACATGTATCTTAATTTGCTTAACAAACAACACCCGAATGTTGGATAATTCCAGAACTTGGGAATAAGTTTCTTTAGAAAGTGGAAGTTTCTAGAGAAATAGAGAAAAGGAAAATAGGTTTTACAAATATGGAAATTGGTTTGTAATCCTAATAGGTTTAGGATGTCGCTTATACCTATATAAGAAGTTCTAAGTAGAGAGTTGTTCTACAAAACTTCAAGAGAGAGATTTAGTTTTTGTGTGAGTTTTCTAAATCTAATAAAGAAGTGCAGTTCTTTAAGCTTTTGAGTTCTACATAATCAACTTGAATTGGTATCAGAACTTGTGTTGAAACTTTGAAGGATCGAGACCTGTGATCAACCATGGCGGATGGACAGAATCCTCCACCACGAACAAAGGACCTTGGAGCTCCGTCGATAAAGTGTCCAATGTTAACACCGACGAACTACACGGTCTGGGCGATGAGGATGAAGGTTATGCTTCGTGTAAGTGAAGTATGGGATACAATTGATCCAGGGAACGAGGATCAAAAGAAAAACGATGTGGCGACGGCACTGATTTTTCAATCTATCCCCGAGGCACTCATCTTACAAATAGGAGAGCAAGACCTAGCTAAAAGCATATGGGATGCAATAAAATCTCGTCACCAGGGAGCAGACCGGGTGAAGGAAGCGAGACTCCAAACCCTAAAAGCTGAACTAGATCGGTTAACGATGGGAGATTCAGAGACAGTGGATGAGTTTGCTCGAAAGATGTCAGGACTAGCAGCTCAATCGGCTTCCCTAGGGGAAATACTTGATGAAACAAAACTTGTGAAGAAGTTTTTGTCAGCACTTTCAGAGAAATTCATTCACATCGTGGCGTCTCTTGAACAAGTACTCGATTTAAAGACTACTGGCTTTGAAGATATAGTAGGAAGAATCAAAGCTTATGAAGATCGAGTAAAGAAGAACACCCAAAGTGAAGATCAGGGAAAACTTATGTTTTCAAACTCCAACAATACCTGTGGAGGCTACGGAAACACGCGTGGAGGAGCCAGAGGTAGAGGAGGAAGCAACCGTGGAGGAAGAGGGAATCAGGGCAACAATAGCTCCGGAAGAGGCAGAGGACGAGGAAGATCCAACGACCAAAACAGAGGAGGAGAAAACAAAGAGAAGCAACAGAACCAACAGAGAGATCGATCCAAAATAATCTGTTGGAGATGTGACAAGCCTGGTCACTTTGTATCTAAGTGCCCTGAGAGACCTGCAGAAACGCAAGAAACAAATTTGAATGAAACACAAGAAGCTGACGCGCTTTACATACACGAGGTGGTGTTTTTGAATGAAGAAAAGGTATTCCCTAAGGTGTATGATACCAACAGCAAAAGTATTTGGTATCTTGACAATGGAGCGAGTAATCACATGACAGGGAATAAAGAGTTCTTCTTGAGCCTAGATGAAAACATAAAAGGAAAAGTGAAGTTTGGTGATGGGTCATATGTTGATATTGTGGGAAAAGGTACTATAGTTTTTGTGAGCAAGAATGGCGACAAGAGAGCACTCAAAGACATCTACTATATACCTGAACTTAAACACAACATCATAAGTCTTGGACAAGCAACAGAACATGGGTGTGAAGTCAACATGAAAGGTGAAGCTCTCACGTTGAATGATGCACAAGGAAGGCTGCTAGTAAGGGTCATACGATCACCAAACCGTCTCTACAAGACACCTATGGAAATAAGCTTTCCGAAGTGTCTACAAATACAAAACGATGATGAAGAAATGACTTGGCACTCACGGCTTGGTCATATAAGTGTTGGTGTTTTGAATAACATGGTGAAAAAGGAGATGGTCATTGGATTGCCGCAGATTCAATCGCAGGAAAGCATCTGTAACGCATGCTTAGTTGGGAAGCAAACCAGAAAATCGTTCCCAATCAAAGCGTCATACCGTGCAACTCAAGCATTGGAGTTAATTCACGGAGACTTGTGCGGACCTATCTCACCGCCAACACTAGCAAACAATCGATACGTTTTCGTATTAATTGATGATTTCTCAAGATACATGTGGACAATGTTGTTAAAGGAGAAGAGTGAGACGTTTGATCGGTTCAAAAGATTTAAAGATTTCGTGGAGCAGCAATTGGGGAAATCTATTAAAACTCTTCGCACCGATAGAGGAGGAGAGTTTACCTCGAATGAATTTAACTCGTTTTGTGAAGAAAACGGAGTTAACCGTCACCTAACTGCACCATACACGCCTCAACAGAATGGTGTCGTAGAAAGGAGAAATCGCACTTTAATGGAGATGACAAGAAGTTTGCTCAAGGCAATGAAAATTCCGAATGATATGTGGGGAGAAGCTGTCCGTCACTCTACATATCTCATCAACCGAGTCCCTACAAAAGCTTTGAAAGATCAAACACCATACAAGTGTCTCATGTCCAAGAAACCAAACATTGAACACTTAAGGGTTTTCGGATGTGTCGCACATATAAAGATCACTGGTCCTCACCTTAAGAAGCTAGATGATAGGTCACGATCTGTGATCAATCTCGGAACTGAACAAGGCTCCAAAGCGTATCGTCTCTTTGATCCAACCACGAGAAAGGTGTTTGTAAGCAGATATGTAATATTTGATGAGAAGAAAGCTTGGGACTGGTCATCGACATCACAACAAGAAAGCGGAGAACCTGGTATGTTTAAGCTTACAGTTAATGGTGTCATTGAAGATGGAAATGCACATGATGATAATCAAGGAATCAATGAGGATTATCAAGAAGAACCGCTACCTGAGAATCAGAATGAAGAAGCAGAGGCTGACAATGACAATGGGGAACAACAAGAAGCAGCTCAAAACCAACCGTATGTAACAAGATATGGTCGCACAATCAATAAACCGAGATATCTCGATGACTACATACTTCTCGCTGACTTGGAAAGTGAGAAACTGTTGTTCACCATTGATGGCGAGCCAGAAAGCTATTGGGAAGCTAAGGATCTTCGTGAATGGATTAAAGCTATGATGGCTGAAATAGATTCAATCGTGAAGAATATGACTTGGGAGCTTGTTGACAAACCAGATGGGGTGAAGCCAATAGGTTTAAAATGGATATTTAAGATCAAAAGAAAAGCAGATGGTTCGGTGAGCAAGTACAAAGCAAGACTAGTAGCAAAAGGCTATGTACAACAACAAGGCATTGATTTCGAAGAAGCGTTTGCCCCTGTCGCTCGGATTGAAACCATACGATCTCTCATAGCACTTGCAGCAGCAAAAAGTTGGGAGATACACCACTTAGACGTCAAGACGGCTTTCTTAAACGGAGAGCTTAGTGAAATCGTCTATGTAAGTCAACCTGAAGGTTTTGAAAAGAAAGGAGAAGAAAACAAAGTCTACCGTCTTCACAAAGCCTTGTACGGACTGCGCCAAGCTCCTAGAGCATGGAATGTGAAACTTAATCGTGTGTTTAAAGAGATGGGTCTCAAGAGATGTGTGAAAGAGATGTCCGTGTATCTCAAAGGGGATAAGGGAGACTACTTGATCGTGGCAATATATGTAGATGACTTGTTCGTGACAGGAACCTCGTTAAAAATCATCAATCAATTCAAGAAAGATATGTCAAGAGAATTTGAGATGTCAGATCTCGGCAAACTGACATACTATCTTAGAATTGAAGTGATTCAAGGAGCTGATGGGATTCGCATAAAACAAGAGGGTTATGCAAAAGGAATTCTCTTAGATACAAGGATGGATACATGTAATCCCACACAAGTTCCAATGGATGCAAACATAAAGCTCTCAAAGGCAGAAAGTGAGCCAGAGATTGATGCCGCGGCATACAGGAGAAGCATCGGATGCTTGAGGTACCTGCTTCACACGAGACCAGACTTGGCATACGCTGTTGGAGTTCTAAGTCGATACATGCAAAATCCGAGAGAAAGTCACGGCCAAGCTCTTAAACAAGTACTAAGATATGTAAAGGGAACTACCAACTTGGGTTTGTTTTTCAGGAGAGACGGATCAAATAAAGTGATTGGATATAGTGACAGCAGTCACAACATTGATGTCGATGATGGAAGAAGCACGACAGTCCACATCTTCTACTTCGGAACATCACCAATCACGTGGACATCACAGAAGCAACCCACCGTCGCGTTGTCGTCTTGCGAGGCTGAGTTCATGGCAGCTACAGAAGCCGCAAAGCAAGCTATATGGCTTAAGGAGTTAATGCGAGAAATACTTAACA